CTGAACAAGATGTTAAAGTTTTAAAAGCAACTGTGAAGCCGTTTTTCTTTAAGTTTGCAGACAAGGATTTTAGCAATTGACTTCAAAATGGCCGACAGGAAGTAGGTATTGAGTTGAAAATTTTTCATCCACATCTGTATGCACTCATAAGTTATCCCTGAAAATTTGAAGGTGATATCTGCAGCGGTTTTGGAGAAAGGCTGACAATATGGCCCCACACTATGTGGTGGGGACATAAAAAACTGCATTTGCAAATAATTGTTTATGGAAATTAGAATCCACTGCTGTAGAAATTAATCCATTAACTCCAACAAATGGATTAATTATCAGTGTGAACAAAACTTTTCCACGGAAATTATTAATTAGGGATTAAAGTTTTATTCAAGCATATTGCTCTGACCATGGGTGATAGAGCCCATGCTCTGACATGTCAAAATATTCAGTACTGTATTTGCATCACTTGGCCCTTCTATGCGCCTGTCTGATCAAAATGTATTGATTTGTCAGATAAAACAGTTGCCATAAATGTAAAATGTGTCTTTTTTTATTTTTATTATCGAATTATCAACTAAACATACTGAGTCTTGCACCTTATGAAAGGTCAAAGGTGTATACTGTAAGTAATTTGAATTTAAAACCAAATTTGCAAATTATAATGAAAAAAATATTAAATCCCAAGTAATCAAGTAACACGGCATTCACGCCAATTTGTGTGATTGGGTAGGGAAGGCTTCACTAGACTAGACAGCAACAACAAGTCTGTAATTCAAATTTTCAAATAAAAAGTTAGATGAGGAGTTTTGGAAAATGACTAAAAACCAAACCCCATATCGGCCCTCTGGCATTCTCAGGGATTTGATCAAAATATTGATATGCAAGAAACTCTTATTTTTTCTTATCTACCACAGGGGGTGAATGCATGGGCATAGTATTGCTCCTCTGTAACTTAACTCAATACAGACTTATTTCACACCCGGGATTTCACATCACACTACTAAGTTTGAAATGTATGTTTTATGGAGTCTATTCAAATCAAAGATTGAACTTCGAATTATTTTTTAGATCAGAGAGTTTCAAAAATGATAATCCAGTGATCAATAACATTACGATATAATCCCTGGCATGCAATCAAAGTGTTGAAAGAAATCAAATGTAATCAGAAAGACAGAATAACTTATTGTTCGGATTAATGACAAAGTATTTATGGGAACCTTACTTTAATTTGATCTAATCTGTAAATAAGAATGAGTTCAACTTTCATTAAATGTACCACTAATGAGAAATAATAACAAGTGTGCATAAATGTAATCGACATGTCTGTGTCAACATGTCAGTTATTGTAACAAATTCTAGCCACAAATGAGGAAATGTATCATCGAGTATCATGTTTTTTTCCGAGTTGTATCATATGTATTATACAGCTGATAACAGATGATATGATTCAGCAAGCAATGATAACAAATTATACCAGTTCAGATGGGAAACTTCAAAATTTTCCATATCATTCATTGTTATAATATTGTCTGATACCTATACTCTAAAAAGTGTGCTGTTCAACGATCGAAAAATCAATTTTCTGAAAAAGTTCATGTATTCCTTCTAAATCATTCAGCCTACTTACATTCGATGAATCACGGAGTTTTATGGCCAAGTGTTTTTATCCATTTCATAGCTAGGAACAGAAATACTCCAAAATCGATACGAACTTCGAAGGACAGGTCAGTCATTTTCTTCAGAAAAATTCTCATTGCCCTGTGTTTGAGTGACGTCAGATTTCTAAATATTCCAAGTTTATTTAACAGGGGTGAAAAATGACATTTATTTTGACTTCGTTCAGTCATCTCCTTCTCCAGAGCCCGGCGAAGATATATGACCAAGTCTGATAATTTCTTCTTTACCACATAAAGTGAGGAGCTATACTTGTAACTCCCCATTGTAAAGAAAGATGGCAGCGTTTGATATATACATACCTTGTCCCCTACGAGTCCGATTTTCGATGACATCATTTTCTTAGAATCTCTTCCATGTTGGAATTTGAGACGAATGCAATGGAGAAATGATTTGCGTGATATAAGAGAAGGGGATTTCTTTTCAATTTCCTGTGATTAACTGACAAGTTAAAGGCATTGGCCAAACTTATTATATATGGAGGGAATACTTAAGAATAAGGCCAAATAAGAGAATAAATGGATTTTTTGTTTGCCGAACACCAGGGTTTTTAGAGTATAAACCATGGGCTAATTGAAAGCCCATGCCTAAACCTATGATAACAGATTAAACTGTATTAAACAACTGATATGTGTGTATCATATGTTTCTTATACCATATTAATCTGGGCATTTAACATAGTGCAAATGAGAGAATAAATGGATATTTTGATCGTCAGACACCAAGGTTTTTAGAGAGTAGTTTTAAACTTGGGGGTGAATTATAGGGGGCGCCACCTATAGGACCAGTTTTCACATTCGTAGGGCTAGAAACCAAAGCTCAAAATAAGCCCAAGACCTTGCTCTACATGATTGAATCCAGTGAGAAACTTAGGGGACAAATTTTTTTTCTAAAATTTGCTCAGCTGCTACCCTGCGTGCAGAGTCTAGTTAAACTACACTCTGCCTAGTAGAAACCATATTACAGTTTAGTAGCCCTGCCCCCACGACGGGTACCAGTGACAGTTTGGGTAAATTACTTTTGACCTACCACCAATCAGCGAGCTTGAAGAAACATACGCCAAATGCGTTCTAATTAAATATGCGCATGTCATTGGTCAATTCTAGGCTCAACGATGACGTCAGAAGGAATGACCATATAAAGAACGTCGGTCAAATTTGGCCGACGAACACTGATTGGCGCGATGGGTTCACAGGTTTATTTTAGTTTGAAAGAGTGAAGACGAAGCTCTCTCTTTTAAGAAGTGAAGTCAAACGAATGCAAAGGGTACTCAGCTGCTGACCTAGCACTAAGGATTTATATATGTGCAACAGAAGCTCTTTTTGATAAGTCATTATTCATGACTCTTTTTTTATGCCAAGGGGTTCATGAATGCCAGAGACATATTAAACATGCAGTGGCATAGCCAGGAATTGGTGACCGGGGGGTTCTATTTTTATGTTATTCACAAATCCCTCCCCCCCCTTCATTAGGGTTCCTCAAATAATGCAATTTGTACAATTACACTCCCTCCAAAAGTTTACTAACCCATTGGATTATGTATTAAAGCATCTTTAGGTTTGAATTCTTATATGCATAATTTGTAAAGAAAAACTATTTTGGGAGGGGAAATATAATTCATTTTAGTACCTTCATTAAGTTAAGTACATGTAGACAGTTGAATTTGAATTTTATTTAACAAAAATGATGTCTTTATTTACTGAAAGTAATAGGCTTTATCAAGAAACCTCTCACATTGAAATAACACAGGACGTAAAAATGATTTTCAAAAATGACCTTGCAGCTTTGTAACTTTAATGTTCACAAAGTAAAATAAACAGGCAACGTGCAAAAAAAGTCAGAGAACTTATAATTAATTTTCTGCATCAAAATATATTTCGTGAATCTTTTACTGAATACATATCCTGAAATCTGATTTGCCCCGAATCCACCATTATTTCGTCTGATTTCTGGAAGACCCTGGAGCATGATTTGTTTCCAAGGAATATCAACTATTTCGCACAATTTATTCTTTAGCTTAAGCTTAACTTCATCTAGGACAAAATAAACCGCATTGATAATAAAAACGTTTTAGTGGATATAAATCATATATAAATACAAGCGACTGTTATTTTGTTAAGTTCAGACGGCTTAATAACAAATTAGGCCTTAATTATTTGAAGATTAATTAACCATATTATTTTTCAATGTTTTTTTATTATATAATTCATTCGCTAAACATATCATGACATTAACATGAAAATGGAGTGGGAGAGCAAGTAAACTGGAACGATAACAATTTGAATTCTATACAATCTCTTAGATGAGTGGAGTGTATCTGAAAAAACAAAATCATTTTTTGCAATGATTGATTTTCTTTGGAAAAGTGATGGGTTTTTGAACAAATGCTTGTGTTTATAAATGATATACACTTTTAAATAATTAATTTCACAACGTTTTTTAATTATTTAACACAATTGATTTCAGGGACTTGCCAGCCCCAGGGACGTCTCAAGAAATATTTTAAATTTTAATTGAAATAAAACAAAACAGAGATGTACACATTTGAAAGAACATGTGTTTCATCAATATAACGACTATTCCAGATATTTATTCGTCAATGTTGTTAAAATCATTCAGAGTATGGGACGTCTGCATTGTTTTCAATAACTTCCAATAACTTCGTATTGGACCAGAACTGGCTTAAAACAAAATTCCTACAAAGGACTGATTTAGCCATTGCCAAAGATGGGTTATTTTGTCTGAGAAGAAGCAGCTTTTAAGTTAATTGTGAGAAATTATTGCTATTTCTAAATGTAAAATCTCATGCTCTGTAGACTACTGGGGTCTTCCCTTAAATCTCACCCAGTGCCTTTGTACGTTTTGAGGGAAGTGTAACTTCACACTATGACATGTTTTTAACAAAATAAGGCTCTCGTGTTCACTAAATGTTAAATCATTTACTGCTCATAAATGTAGTTTTCAAATAGCACAGTAATTCAATATTTCTGGTTATATGCATTTTTCCGCAAAATGATATTTTGGGAAATCCTGACCGGGGGGTCGTTCGAACCCACCGAACCCCCGCTGCCTACGGCTATGACATGTATTCAGGCACAATTTGCTCGAATATTGAGGATCGAGTTAAAATGATGGGAGATTAGACAATTTTCCTTGACACACTCCTAGCCAATCCCCTGTGACTCTAGGCTATTTCTGAAAATGTGTGTGAGTTTTCAACAAAAAGTGAAAAATAAAAAATCATGATGAAACTTTTTCTTTTCATGATGAAGGCCCTGTAATTGTAAGCTTAGGCCTCTAGGTAGATCTAACACTTTAGATTACTAACCTACCTATCGCCCTTGATCTTCATGTTGCAGTTCTAACAAACGTTTTTATTCGATGGCATCTTGCACGTTTGACAGGGGACCAGGACGGTTTTGACCACTTTGGCGCATGCGCATAGATAGACAAACAGCTGATTTGGTCAGATGTCAATGAAAGTTCACAGTGACCTGGTCAAAAGGGGAATTCCCTTGTGGAATCCCTTAAAAGCAGAGACCAGAAGCAGACATATAAACATAGGCCAAGGGAAAAGTAATAGTAAGCTGTATATAGAAATATACGGCTTACTATTACTTTACCCTTGGCCTATGCATATAAAACTGTTTTATAAAGCTCCTGCCCCCCCCCCCCAGATCCGCCAGTGCTTACGTTATGGGTCTAAGCACAGATCCGGAGCCAGATTCAGCCCCTGTTGGTAGTAGGCTCAAAGGATATATATTTATTGAGCCTAGACAAAGAGGAGCTTATCTGGCAGAGGTCCGTGGGTCTAAGCATGGGCTTTCAATTAGCCCATGTACTATGGCGGATCCGGGGGGGGGGCATGGGGCCCGCCTCCCCCCCTAAGGTTGGCCCAGAAAAAAAAAGTTGGGCCCAAAAATTTTTAGGCCATAAAGAAGGCCTTAAGGCCCCAAAAAGTGGGCCTTTTGGTCATTATTAGACCTTCTAAGGCCTTATTTTTTAAATTTAAGGCCAAATTTTGAAGAAAATGGGCCTAAATGGGCGGAGGTTTTTTCTCTGACCTAAAATTTGCCCCCCCCCCTTGTTGGTTCCTGGATCCGCCACTGGTCTAAGTGATAATTTTGAATTAGTTTTAAAATATTGAAAGTTACCTTGTTTCTAATTCTGTAGAAAATGCAAAGTATTCATTATTGCTAATACGAACTGCTTTTATTTCCATGTTGATAGAGAAAACCTTTGGTGCTCCTATTAATATCAACGTGTTATATCTTGAAAGTATTTCCCATTCTACATACACAATAAAAATATTGAAGTATTGATATTTACAAAACAGAAAGAGTGGGTCTAATTCTTTAAATAATGTCAGGAATAAAAAATCAGAAATACAGATACTGACCCTTTAAGTATAGAATACACTAAATGATAATAAAATGGGCGAGTATACTATGTATCACTTTTATTACAATATATCATACATGGTTACAAAATATCTTATAATATACAGGGTGGGCCAAAAACACCCCTAGCCAATATTATTTTTAAACAGAAACACCAACAATGATATATCATTTTAAAGATTTAATTTAATTCGCAATAAAATGATATATAATAGAATAATTTTCAACAACCCTGGGATGAGATATAACCAATTACACGCCCGGTGATCGTACAAAATGGATAGAGGGGGGGGGGGATTAGGCGATTTCTGCAAGAAAACTCAAATTTGGAAGATTTATTTTTTCAAGAGTAAATTTACAACTGAATTGCCAAATGAATAGGCGCAGTGCATGGCAAAATATGTTAGGCCATCTAGTATTTTTTGAACTGATACCCTTCTAAGATATGAGATCTATTAAAAAGGCGCATCATCAAAAACGTGCAAAAGTCAATGTTTTTCCTATAAATCGGGCAACAATTTTCTACATGACCTGTAATAAATAGGTATAAGGGACGTTATTATCACAATACTAATGACATTGCTCACTTTTTAAAGTTAATTTCCATGCGTTATACAAAAAATAATCGAAATAAATTAATATTGGATGGAGGGGGGGGTAGGATGGAGGGGGGGATAACGTGTATATAAGACATGATAAGACATGCTTCTTGAATTTATTCTTATGACTCCAAATTTTCCCATTTTTCTTTCTCCAGAGATACAATATCCAGTTACATGGGGTACTGAGTTTAGTTTTTTCAAATACACGAGTTCTTGTGAATTTGTTCCATCGTAAAGACATATAAATCTAGGGTCCTGAAACGTCTTAGCTAACATTATTAGCCGAGAGCTCTTGAGAAAGTCTGGATTTACATTACATTTGTACTGAACGCTAAAACGTTTTAGCCAAGACGTCTTAGGGCTCTAGTGTAAATCCAACAACTGTATGATGCTTCAGTTGGTTAACCAATGCATGGAACAGGCAGTTACCATCACCATCATTTTCTATAACACTAAGGCCATGATTTGCTGCTGTCTCCGCCATTGTCTGCTCTTTGTCATTACCAAAGTTGAGCAAATCCTCTGAATAATAAAAAATAAAATTCTTTGCATTAACAACAGGTTTTTGCAAAAACGGGAACATTAGTGAATCTCATATAAAAAATGTGGCGCACTAAGACAACACAATCGTTTAAAAGACAGAGTATGAGGACAAAATGCTGAAAATAAAGTTTCTAGTTTCAAATTACTTCCAAAATTTGGTTGAATTGGACAGTGTACAGTAGATGAGAAACTATCGTTTATTACATTTGCACTTTCTGTACCTTGCATTTGACTTCTCATTCTCCGACAAGTTCTCAACACCTCCTTCCTGTTGCAGCCCTAACCTTAATTACAAAGTATAAGAAGGCGCGTATAGTTATATCAAAGATTACATCAGTTTTGTTTACTTCCACAAAGCAAAGAATAGAAATGGTAAGTGTTTCGACTTTAACAACTGATTGAAGCAAGTGTTCCGACTTTTCTATCTGATTGACCAAAATGTTACAACTGCTTGAAGAAAGTGTTCCGACTTCTAAAATTAATTGACCAAAGTGTTCCGACGTTTACATCTGATTGACCAAAGTGTTCCGATTTTTACGACTGATTGAAGAAAGTATTCCTACTTTTACAATTGATTGCCCAAGGTGTTCCGACTTTTACATCTGATTGATCAAAAGTAATCCGACTTTTACAACTGATTAACCAAAGTGTTCTGACTTTAACATCTGATTAAACAAAGTGTTCCGACTTTTACATCTGATTGAAGAAAGTGTTCCGACTTTAACAATTGATTAAGCAAAGTGTTCTGACTTTTACATGTGATTGACCATAGTGTTCCGACTTTTACAACTAATTGAAGAAAGTGTTCCGACTTTTACAACTAATTGAAAAAAGTGTTCCTACGTTTACATCTGATTGACCAAAGTGTTCCGACTTTTACATCTGATAGACCAAGTGTTCCGACTTTTACAACTAATTGAAGAAAGTGTTCCTACTTTTACAATTGATTGACCAAAGTGTTCCGACTTTTAAATCTGATTGACCAAAGTGTTCTGACTTTTACAACTAATTGAAGAAAGTGTTCCTACGTTTACAATTGATTGACCAAAGTGTTCCGACTTTAACATCTGATTGAAGCAAGTGTTCCGACTTTTCCATCTGATTGACCAAAGTGTTACAATTAACTGATTGAAGAAAGAGTTCCGACTTTTAAAATTGATTGACGAAAGTGTTCCGACTTTTACAACTAATTGAAGAAAGTGTTCCTACTTTTACAATTGATTGATCAAAGTGTTCCGACTTTTCCATCTGATTGACCAAAGGGTTCCGACTTTAGCATCTGATTGACCAAAGTGTTCTGACTTGTAATATTGATTGACCAAAGTGTTCCAACTTCTACATCTGATTGCCCAAAGTGAAACTGATTGAAGAAAGTGTACCTACTTTTACAATTGATTGACCAAAGTGTTCCGACTTTCAAATCTGATTGATCAAAGTAATCCTACTTTTACAAATGATTGACCAAAGTGTTCTGACTTTGAAATCTGATTGACCAAATGTTAAGAACACTTTGGCCAATTAGATGTAAAAGTCAGAACGTTAAAGGTCAATCAATTGTAAAAGTTAGAACGCTTTAATCAATCAATTTTAAAAGTCGGAACACTTTCTTTAATCAGTTGTAAAGTATAAATAGTTTGGTCAATCAATTGTACAAGTCAGAACACTTTGGTTAATCAGATGTCAAAGTCAGAACAATTTGGTCAATCAGATGTAAAAGTCAGAACACTTTGGTCAATTCAATCAGTTGTAAATGTCGGAACACTTTCGTCAATCAGCTGAAGAAGTCAGAACATTTTGCTCAATCAGCTGTAGAAGTCGAAACACTTTGGTCAATCAGCTGTAAAAGTCGAAACACTTTGGTCAATCAGTTGTAGAAATCTAAACACTTTGGTCAATCAGCTGTAAAAGTCGGAACACTTTGGTCAGTCAGTTGTAGAAGTCGGAACACTTTGGTCAGTCAGTTGTAGAAGTCTGAGCACTTCGGTCAATTAGAACACTTTTGTCAATCAGCTGTAAAAGTCGGAACACTTTGGTCAATCAGTTGTAGAAGTTTAAACAGTTCGGTGAGTTAGAACACTTTGATCAATCAGCTGGGAATTCAGAACACTTTAGTCAATTGGAACACTTTGCTCATTCAGTTTTTGAAGTCTAAACACGTTGGTCAATCAGCTGTAAAAGTCGGAACACTTTGGTCAGTCAGTTGTAGAAGTCTGAACACTTCGGTCAATTAGAACACTTTTGTCAATCAGCTGTAAAAGTCGGAACACTTTGGTCAATCAGTTGTAGAAGTTTAAACAGTTCGGTGAGTAAGAACACTTTGATCAATCAGCTGGGAATTCAGAACACTTTAGTCAATTGGAACACACTTTGCTCATTCAGTTTTTGAAGTCAAAACACTTTGGTCCATCAGCTGCAGTCAATCAGTTGTAAAAGTCGGAAAACTTAGATCAATCAATAAGAATTGCAAATGCCGGAACACTTTGGTCAATCAGTTCTAGAAGTGAATTTTAACACTTCGGTCAATCAATGCTCTACCGTTTTAGAGCACTCAGTTTGGTCAATTAGTTTTAGAATCATTGAAAAATGGGACATTTTATTCAGTCATGGTAGTTATGTACTAAATGCGAATACATCTTTGGGTACTAGTACTCGGATCCTCTCAGGTTTGATGTTTATAACAAGGTCAGCCGATTTCTCCTAGAAAAAACAAGATGCATTTTGTCACGTGAAAGTTTACGAATTATTCGCTAACCCCCCTATCACACCAAACAAGTTCTTACCCGTTCTTGCCAGTCCTACGAAAACGTCGTAAAACGGGCTCAATCTGGCTGTGGTCGGGAAATATGTCTGAAATAATTAGCTTCT